CGCGGCTGCAGAGTACGGAGCCGGGTGAGGGGTCGGTGATGGGCTGGGGGATCTGGGGGGGGATGAAGATCTCCGTTCGGTGACCGCAGCATCCTCCGGGTCCCCCCGCCCCGTCGGGTCTCGAGGGGCTCTTGTGCCTCCTGTCGCTGGCAGAGTCACCCTGGGGGCTGTGTCACGACCCTTCCTCTCCAGCATCTCTGCTCTCACCCTCCTCATCCTCACGGATGACCTGCAGCCTCCTGTTCCTCCCAGTCTGGAGGTCCCCGAGGTCCCCGCGGTCCCCAGGAGAGGGGACAGCCCCCGGTGGTCCCCCCAGTGCCTCTTCACATCCCTTCCTTGTGTCCTCAAGCCTCTTCCAGCCTGTGCCAGGCGTGTCACCTTCGAGGACGAGGTGATGCCAGCGCGAGGACCCTCGGGGAGGGTCTGTCCTGCCAAGGCACGGGAGAAAACAGGGGACAGGTCTGTCCTCCCCACGCTGTCACACTCCATCCCGGACTATGTGGTGTAAGTGATTCCTTGGGGGGAAGGACATGGGGGTGTCCCAGACCCCCAGGGACACATCCAGAGGGTCTCATCCGAGCCTCGTGGCTTTGGGGGTGCAGGAGATACCCAACGATCCGGAGCCTCCAGCAACGAGAGGGGTACAAAGGAGTCTTCCAGGACCAGCTGGCAGAATATATGGATCTGCTCCAGGAGCTCCGTGCCAAATGTCACCCCCCGAGCAGGACGGTGGGTCCTTAGGGTGGGCACTGGGTACCATCGTGTGAGCAGGGTTGGGTGTGATGAGTTGGGCGTTCTCTGCAGGACTGGGGGTCTGCAGAGGGTATTGGGGGACAGGAGGGGACACATAGACCCCCCCAGGCTCTGGTGGCACCAGCAGCGCCCGAAGGCACTTGGCAGCTCCTGGAAAATTAATGAGCGTCGCAATTTGCCGCTTGAGCCCTGGGCGAGGGTTTTGCCGCAGGTGCTGGAGGAAGTCTGAGTGTCCACGAGCCCACCTAGATTTGTCACCACAATAGGGCTGAACCCTCCAGGATTCGTCCCTGCCCCGCAGGGTGGGAGCAGGTGACCCACGGCTGTGAGTACGCGAGGAAGAGGAGGGTGAGCAGGGGGAGGGCACAGGGTCTGTTTTGGGCAGGATCCCGATGCCATGGCAGAGTTCTTCCCGGCAGGATTCAGCCTGGCTGGAGAAGCAGCAGCGCTGTGAGTACCTGAAGAAGAAGCTGACGCACCTCAAGGCGCAGATCCAGGAGTACGATCGTGTCACCCTCCCCAGCGCTGGTGGCTCCTGAGCCTGCGCAGCGACACCCACACCCCGGGACAACTGGGACAACTGGGGGCACCACAAGGGTTGGGGAGGGGGTGGCGATGCCCCAGAGATCACCCAGTGCCCACCCACCCATTGCACCCACGCGGGACTGGGGAGGAAACCCACCAGCTCCTCAGTTTGGGGTTTTCGGGGAGCCAAGGGGATCCCCGAACGTCGGGTGGGTCCTGCTTGTCCCCAAACCCTGGGTGAGGTGCCCCCACCTCACCCCCCACATCACCAGGGCAAGGGGTGGGTGCACCTGCAGAAGTGCTTTAATTTTTAATTAGTGGGTTTAATAAAGGCGGTAG